CCCCCCCCCCCAATTTACACAAAGCTCAGAACTTTCTAAGCCTTCCTGTTCTTGTTTTCTAGGAAGAGCACATTTCAAACCTTTGGGAAAGAAGTGTGCCTCATAGATCATTCGGTAAGGAAAGCAAACTCTCAGCAGCTTTGCTCCAACTCCGATAAGGCCGTGGGTTTGGGAAAGTGGAGACAGTGGGTGGGTCCACAGCATCTCATGAGGATGTGGCAGACACGGAGTCTGTGGTTCCAGGGCCCATCAGCTGGCCCCCAATATCTCTGTAGGGTCACCCACTGCCTCCCCCACCCCTGGCTCCTGAAGACACTTCAACACAGGGATTCAGGAGGCCTGGGAGAACAGTAGTGCCCCCTAATGTACCTGCTCTGGGCATCAGCTTCTTCACCTGACCCTGGAGAGGATGACTTCCCTGCTCCTTCCTGCATGTTGGCGTGGTGAGGATCACGGGATGGATGTGGAAGCCTTTGTGAATGTAAAGCACTGATGGCAGATTGACATCCAAGGAGAGCAACCCTCTCCCCACCGCAGTCGGTTGTACTCCCCCAGACTTGCCCATGGTAACGCGGCAGGAAGTGGCTGGGAATCCTAGCAGCTGGTCTGCAGGCTCCGCTGGTCCCCCTCTAACTGACTCTGGAGAGTGAGCCATGGTAGCCTGCCTCTTGCTGAGCTGCAGGAGGAGCTGGGGCCCCTGTTCCCTGCCCCTGGACGCCCGGCCTCAACCCTGGCTCTCTCCAAGCATTCATTGACTATTCCAGAGAGTTCCTTGGCTCACATTGCAAACACAGCAGCATGTTTAATTCTGTCTTTTCTGGCTCTTGCTCAGATGTGTCCCGTCCCCAGCACTGTTCATCGAGAGCCCATCTGCTGTGAGTGCCAGGCCAAATTCGGGGGCTGCCTGCCAGTGCCCAGGGTCAAGGCGGCGTTGCCTTACTGGGTTCCTTTGTCCTTGAGACCCCGAAAGCAGGTAGGTGACTTGGACCAGGGCTGCTTCGTCTAGTCCAGGGTTAACTTAAGGGGAACAGTCACCCCTCAAAATCAAAGATGTCATATGTGTGATTTCTTACAATTTCTGGGAGACAGTTTTTGTGTGTTTTTTTTTTAAATCCAGTTTTTTTTTTTTTTTTTTTTCAAAAACCAGATCTATGGAGTTAAGACTGGCATGTGATAACTGCACATATGTGAAGTGTACAGTTTGCTGAGTCTTGACATAGATATCCATCTGTGAAACCACCACGGCTGCTGAGCTGACGTGCATACACACAACCCTGAAAGGTTTCCTTGTGCCCCTTTGTGACTCCCCCCAGCCTTCCCCGCCCTGCCATCCCCAGGCAACCACTGATCTGTTTCTGTCACCCCAGATCAGCTTGCATTTTCTCAGATTTTATATAAATGGAATCATATAGTAGGTCCTCTTTGGCCTCGTTCACTCAGCATAATTATTTCCGAGCTTCCTCCATGTGGTTGCTGAGTGGTGCTGGGTAATGTCCATCATATGACTGGACCACAGTGCAGCCATTCGTCTAGTGAAGGACATTTGCACCATCTCCACAAGTTTTGTTTATTACAAATAAAGCTGCTGTGGATGTTTGTGTACAAGTCTTTGTATGAACATACCTTCATGTCTCTTGGGCAAATGGCTAGGAGTAGACTTGTTGGATCATGGGGTAAGTGTATGTTTAACTTTTTAAGAAACTGTCAACTGTTTTCCAAAGTGGTTGTATCATTTTACATTCCCACCAGCAGCGTATGAAGTTCCAGTTCCCCCATATCCTCAGTAACACGTGGTTTGGTCAGTCTTTTAAATTTTAGCCATCTTAATAGGTGTGCGTCTTGCTCTGGCTTTAGTTTGTATTTCCATAGTAACTGGTGATGCTGAGTGTCTCCTCCATATGCTGTTGCCATCTGCATGTCTTACTTGATATGTGTTCAGATATTTTGCCCATTTAGAAACATTGGGTTGTTTGCTTTTTTTTTTTTTAAATTATGGAGTTTTGAGAGTTCTTTATATATTCTGGATATAATATGAGATATTCAATTTGTAAACATTTCTGCATGTTTTTGACTTGTTCTTTTATTCTCTTATCAGTATTTTTCACAGAGCATAAGTTTTAAATTTTGATGGAGTCCAGTTTATCAATTTGACCTTTTCTGGATCTTGCTTAGGTGTGCTCCTCCCCCCAGCACAGTGGTAGGACATGCTTTCCAAGTATTCCTAAAAAATCTTAGCTTACGCCAAGGTCAGAAAGGTTTCTCCTTTATTTTCTTCTGGAAGTGTTATAGTTTACAGTTTGTGTTTAGGTCTGTGATCCATTTTAAGTTAATTTTTGTGTATAGCTTGAGGTATGGTTGAAGTTCCTTTGCTTTCGTCGTGGGTGTCCAGTTGTTCTAATGCCACCTGTCATAGAGCCTATGCTTTCTCCCCTGGCTGGCCTTTGCAACTTTGCCAGGAACGAGCTGTGCATGTAGCTGTGGGTCTGTTTCCGGACTCCGTTCCTTCTGCTGCTCTCGTTGTCTGCATGCCGCCACGCTGTCTCCATTACTGTGACTTTATAAGGAGCCGTGTGTCCTCCAATGCCGGTTCTCTTTCTTTAAGTTGGTCATTCTAGTTTCCTTGCATTTCCATGTGAGTTTTAGAATCCATCTGCCAGTTTCTACAGAAATGTCCTGCTGGGAGTTTGGTTGGTCTTTTTTGTGTAAATTAGTGTAAAGAGAGTGATCATCTTAATAACACTGACTCTTCTGACCCGAGAATGTGGTGACCTCTCTATCCGTGTAGGCCTTTCGTGTTTCTCAGGGGTCGCTTGCAGTCAGCAGTGCACGGGTCTGACATACCTTCTGTCACATTGATCCGTAAGTTTTTCATAGCTTTGATGACATCATTTTAAAAATTCGGTTTATGATTGTTCATTGCTAGTATTTAGAAATACCACTGATTTTTGTATTTTGATCTTGCAGTCTACAATAATGGTTACCTTCTTTATTCTCGTAGCTCTTTTTGTAGATTCCATCAGATTTTCTACGTAGATGATCATGTCATCTGCAGAGAGAGATGATTTCATTCCTTCCTTTACAGTTTGGATGCCTTTTATTTTTCTTGCCTGATACCCTGGCTAGAACTTCCAGTACACTGTTGAGTGGAGTGGGGAGACAAGACGTCCTTGTCTTCTTCCTCATCTTAGAGGGACAGCATTCAGGTTTTCACCATGAAGTAGGATGTTAGCTGTTGGTTTAGATGCCCTGCATCAGGCTGAGGGAGTTCTGGCTATTCCTAGTTTGCTGAGAGGTTTTATCCAAAATGAACATTGGATTTTTTCTATCTATTGAGATTATCACTTTTTTTCGTTTGTTAATATGATGGATTGCATTGGTGGATTTTCAAAAGTTACACCATTTCCTAGGAGAAACCCCCTTTAATCATGATGCATTCTCCTTCATATATTTGATTAGAAGTTTTGCATGTTTATTCATGAGGGATATTGATCTGCATTGTCCTTGTTTGCCTTTGTATTTGGGTAACGCTGGCCTGGTACAATGAGTTGAGAAGTATTCTCTCATTTTCAGTTTTTTGAAGACTTTGTGTAGAATTGGTATTATTTCTTCCTTTAATGTTTGGTAGGATTTACCACTGAAGCCATGTGGGACAGAGCTTCCTTTGTGGGAAGGTTTTTCACTACAAGTTTAATTTTTCCGTAGATACAGAGTTATTTCGGTTATCTGCTTCTTATTTAGCAAGCTTTAAGGAATTTACCCATTACATCATTGTCAAATTTATTGGCATGATGTTATTCATAATATTTTCTAATTACTCTTTTAATATCAGTAGAATCTGTAGTGAGGCCATCTCTCTCATTTCTTGTTTTTTAGTAGACTTTCAAAGGGGTCACTGGCTTCAAGATGACTGAGTCATGTTCTAGGCAGTGATGACGGCCTTAGTCCCTCCTGTTGGTCACTGTATCATTTGAAAGTTGGGCAGGGTAGATATTATTGTACCCCTCTAAAAGATGGGCAGACTGAGGTCCAGAGTGGGGCAGGCTTTTCTAAGGTTCCGCAGTCAGTTCATAGCACACGAGGGATTAGAATCCAGAATTCTCTCCACTGAGTTGTGCTGCTGGGCGTCAGGGAGGAGGTGGCCCTAAGCAGGATGGAAGGAATACAAAGGCCAAGGTGCCGAGCCTGTCTCATGTTTTCCGGCTGGTCTCCCTGCCTCTGTCCTCTCTAGCTCTGGCTGTCCATGTTCTGATCGGCAGCCCCATGAGCTTTTAAAACTGTGGATCTGGTCCTATCACTCCTCTGTAGCTCCCAACTTCTGAGTGTGGAACAAAGTCCCAGACACAGTTCCTGGGGTCCTTCCTGATCTTGCCCCCGCCTGGCTCCAGCCTCCTTTCCACTTGCCCCTCAGGCTTCTGTTCCAACAGAGGGAAGGGTTAGGTGCAAGTAACAGGAAACTGACCCACAGTGGGTTCATCCAGTCTTGGTAGAGAGAGGACTCTTCTAGGATTGGCTTTATGGCTGAACAGTGTGTTTAAGGACCAGAGTCTTTTTATCCTTTACGCATAGTGTTGGCACTGTCATCTTTAGTGTTTCGAGATGTTGGCCATGGGTCTCTTTTTTACACCGTGATACACATGGCAGAAAGTGAGCCTTTCTGGGGTCCTCCTTTTCTCAGGGGAGGCATAGAAGGCTTACCTTCCCATTCTGCTCTCTCATCAGGGATAAAAAAATTCCCAGACGCCCCAGCCAACTTCTCTTTTGTCTTTTTGTCCTCACCTCCAGACTCATTCCTGGCAAAGCCCTGACTGGCTGGTGCTGCTCCCTTGGGACTGGGCACTTTGCCCCTTGAGTAAAGCTGGGTTCTTTTAACAAGGGGGGCTGGGGAATGATTGCTGCGAGGGCAGCCTATAGGGTGTGCCTGGGAAGTTCGTTCTGTCCACATCCTGAGGGCTCTCCAACAGGCACATGCTGCTCTGCTGCCTTCTCCACCTAGCCGGCCCTTGTGGCGCAGCGCAGTGATGCTTCCCAGACAGACTTTCCCGGCCTGGAGTTTCTCCCCACTCCTGCTCCCCCGCATCCTGGCATTTATTCTGTCAGCGGACAGCGCTGCATAGTGAACTGCTGTGGGCAGGACGGGTCTTTGCTCCTAGCGCCGTGCATGCTCAGAGAGTGTGCTCAGCCAGCGCTTGGTGGATGGGGCAGAACCGGCCCGAGTATGCCTGTCCTGTTGGGCAGTGCCATGTTGGCAGGAGGTGGGGTGGGACGGAGGTTCCTGGGTTCTCCAGAACCCCTTCCATCTCTTCCTTTGGATGACCCTTCCGCCCCGGGCCCTCCCCTGTGGGGTCCTGTGCTTTGCAGCATGTCGCACACCTTCTCTGGGCCACTTCTCCTCTGCCTCGGGAAGTCAGCAGGGTCCACTCACAAGTAGGTTTTGTTGTCTTTTCTAACGTGCGACCTGAGCACATGGCGGGAACTTACGCTGGTTCAGGGGGGATACCCCGGCTGCGCCTCCCCCGAGGCTTCCCTGTGCAGCCCGGAGATGTGCTGTGCGTGTGCTCTTTCACTAGCGGCACGTGACACATTGCCTGACTGCCTGCCTTCAAACTGCAGTCCCTGTCATTGTGAGCGGCTCAGCTGGGTGGGCCGGCCCCACCTGCCCCTGATCTAGGGGCCAGTGTGCAGGCCCAGACGTTTAGAGGCCTGTGTGGCCGCTTTGCCTGGCCAGACCTGGCTGCCGTCACTTCCTCCTCGTTCTGTGCGCCAAACCCCTGCACGGCCTAAGCGAAGTCCGGGGGCGGGCTCCATGCTGCCCCTCTGCCGGAACGAACGGGGGTCCCGGGGCAAAGGGCAGGGCTATGGGGAGGGTAGAGAATGAGACAAGGCCGTGTGGTCCCAACAACTCATGCCCAGGAGTCATAGCACGTAGATTTTCTGTAAAAACTGCACATGGCTGCATACCGGGCCTGTGTGCTATGTTTCCCACTCCACATCATGTCTCTGCATTCATTCACATCAGGACAGACGGGTCTGCCTTGCACTTTCCAAAGCCTGCCCATTCCCTGTTGTCCCCGTGTCCCTGCCAGACAGGCCCTTGGGCTCTTGGGCCATGACAGCTGTGCTGCAGCTACTGTTCTTGGGAGCATCGTTCTGCAGGTACACACGTGTCCCAGAGTGGAACTGCTGGATCAGACACTGTCCATTTTAGACTCTGACCCATGTTTTCAGAAAGCTTTGTAGCCAAGAACGCTGAGGCTCAGAGAGGCTAAATGTTGTGCCCAGGGGCCACTCCCGGAGGCCTGCAGACTCAAGACAGAGCCACGTCTCCTGACTGTAGTTCACGTGTCCCACCATGGCAGCCATGTAGACCTCCCACTGCAGAGGCGCAGGCAGCCCCAGGGAATGTCGTGAGGGGGAGACTGCTCCCTCAGCTGGGTGGTTGGGGTGGGCCTGTGGGAGGTTACAGAAGAGGAGCTCCCCAGGGCCCTGTCCCAGGGCAAAGGTTTCTGGGGTACAGCCCCTTTGGACCTTCTCTTCCCTTCCTCTCTGTTAGATCCAAAAGATGGTCCGGTTTCCTATCCCCAAAACCTCCGAGGCATGCCCCTGCCCATGCCACCGCTTTGGGGGCCGCCTCCCGATGCCTAGGGATCAGGCCGTGATGCCCTACTGGGTGCCCCAGGCCCTGAGGCCTCACAAGAAGGTAAGAGGGAGGCTCACGGCAGCGAGGCCCCAGAGGGACCCGGAGATGGGGTGGAGGGTGCTGGGTTCTTTCCCCACAGTGGCCTCCACTGGTGTCTGGGGTCTCCTGGAAGGCACAGTGAGTGCAGTGGAGTGTAGGAGGCGGGTGTGTGCAGGGGAGGGCCAGCTCGGTGTCCTGGGGGGTGCTGGGAGGGTGGGCCGCACGGCTCTCTAAAGGGGGTCTCTCATCACTGCCCCCACCTTTAATGCCGTCTCTCCTGCCTCCTACTCCTTCCTCCTCTTCTGCACATCCCTCACCTTGCCTCAGCGCCCTCTCCAGCTCTCTGGGCATCCTGGCAGGCAGAGGGAGGAGCCGGGAAGGTCCATCGCTCTGAATTTCTGTCCTGGCTTTTCAGCTCTGTCTGGGCGCCTCCAGGGCTCTGGGTTCCAGGGCGGTGACTCCTGGGGTTGCTGGCCAGGTCCAGTCCTCCTCAGCCCCATGGCCCCTTCTCTCCCATGCTTTCTGGGTGTACTGGGTGGTCGATAGAGGCTTTCTTTCTGCCTTCATCCACTTATCATTTGCTGGTTTTCTCTCATCAAGTAGCAGACTGTCCCCAGAATTAAGACTCAGAGGCCCTTTAAAAGGGGACCATGGCTTGCATTCTGAGCTGGCCACAGCCCTTTCCTGGTTTCCGGCCCAATCCCTGGGCCCACCCTTCTGGTAGACCACCAGGCTGGGCTGACACATCTGCCCCCATTCTTTTCTTTTAGGTGGTGAAAAGGCAGCAGAGTTGTAAAGGCATCCAAGGTAACCGAGCATACGTGTTTCATCCCCTCACTCCCCAAGGAAGGCGGGGTGTCATGGTGGGGATGGGGAGACTTCTCTCATCCCCAGGTATCTGTAAAACAGAGATGGGCATGTGACACACATACCGCATCTTCACCCCCTTTTCTTGCCAGGCGTCGCTAGCCATCTACCATTTTTCCCCAGGGAACCTAGAGAAGCCTTACACTCTACCAGTCTATCTGCCTTGGCTTTCAAGATGAAGCCAATTTGCAGCCTGGAGTTAGATGGTATCTAAAGTGTATTTTCTTTTAGGCTCTAATCTTCCATAGTTTGTGACATTGTGTGTGTGTGTTCTGGCGTATACATACACACATACACTTATGATCTAGTAAGTGTATTTACTAGTGATACGGTACCTATGCCTACATTTACATGTGCAGGACACAATGTATGTTTGTGACGTATTTAGGTATGCACTCATTTTGTGGTACATTTATACATTTATGTATTTGAGAGCTAGTATGCACACGTCCACGTATTTCTGGCAGACGTGGTCCATACCACGGATACGTATGTTCATGATGTGGTATGTATCTGCAACAAAGCGTGTTCGTGGATTTATGTATCTGTGAGCCGGTATATACTTATGCACTCACATCAGCCCTTGAGGAGGTGGCATCTCCATCCCCACCTTTATTTTCTTTGTCTCTAAAACAAATGGGTTGGATTGCTCTTGAAGGCCTTGTCCGGGACCGATGGCCAACATGTATGCTTCCTCTGCATTGCACGCGAGCAAAGGAGTGGACATGCTGGGTGGTTCGCATCAGGTCCTCCCCTTGCCCAGCCGTTCCCGTGCTGTGTGTGGTGAGCAGCCCTTGCTGGAATCTGTGAAGGAGGGAATGGATGGATGCCAGGCTGGGGCTCGGTTCTTGTGATGGGCGAGCAGTTGAGCGGCCTGCCCAGAACCCAGGAGCATAGGGCCGGGTGGGAGAGTGCCCAGGAAATGAGTGGCCACCAGCCAGCATGCCCACCTCTTAATGCTGCAAAATTACTATTTTCCCTGGTAATAAGAGTTACACAATTAGGAGCAGCACAGATGGACATAGCCTTTGTGGGGGCAGTTTAGAGGCATCTATCAAATTATTTTTTATTAAGATATAATTGAAATAGAACATTATATTAGTTTCAGGAGTATGTGTAACGGTTTGATACTTATATTTTTGTGAAATGACCGATACAGTAAGTCTAGTTAACATCTCTCACCTCATATAGTTAACAAACTTTTTTTCTTGTGATGAGAACTTTTAAGATCGACTCTCTTAGCAACTTTCAAATATACAATACAGTATTATTAACTATGGTCGTGCTGTACGTTAGAGCCCAAGGACTTATTTATTTTATAAGTAGAAGTTTGTACCTTTTGACCACTTCACCCATTTCTCCCATCTGTCAACTTTTGTAATACGCGTCATCTTTACTCCAGCAAGCCCATGTCCGGGTAATGTCTGGTAGACACTCCCACATGCATGCCTGTCTGCAGCAGCAGTGTCCTTGGCAAGGTGTCCGAAGCAGCTGAAATGTCTCCCAGTGGGAGGATGGACATGCGTGAGGGTGTATTTGTAATGTGGCACCTGCCATGTAGAGCACGCAGCCCTTAGGGACGACGGGAGGGAGCCCCAGACACACTGCAGTGAAGAAAAACAAGTTGCTGCAGGCCGTGCAGCTGGACCCCATTCCTGTGGCTCTGAAAAACTGAAGTCCTGTGTGGGTGTGGATGCGGGTTGGCGGTGTGTGTCTGGGCTGACCGAATAGGTGACCTGTGGGTGTGGGGAAGACAGGAGCTCAGGAACTCAAAGAGCACGACTGGGGGCCGTATAATCAACAAAACAGAAAGCAGCATGTTGGCTCCAGTTTGGGGGAGAAGAGCCAGAAATCCCTTTAAGAAAGAAACCACAGTAGGAGGATAAGAACAGTTGGAGAAACTGCTCTTTTAACTGTGTAATCATACATTTGTGGGTTATTTTTATTGGTTGTTTTTGGTTTTGAATACTCTGCATCTTTAGGAAAAGCTAAAAGCTCGGCTTATTGTTGAATCCTATGCATCAATTTGATACATGTTCAAAAGCTAGTATTAACTTTTCTCCAGTCCTTGTTTAATAGTGCTGGCAGTTTATACAAACAACGAGTCAAGCCTTAACCCATTCAGGCCCGAAGATGTTCCCAGGACAGGACTGAGAGCCCAGGTCTCACTGGTACCAGCTCCCCTTGAACTTTGTGTAGAGTGATTTAAAAGTATGATTTAAAAAAAGTTATTTAAAAATATTTCCCTTAGCCTCAAATCCAGATTATTTCTGTTTTAAAGAGAAAAATCTGTATTTTTCATCTTGTATTTTCTTTGTAAAGAGGGGGCTTATCTGCTTTTCTTCCCTATGCTTTTGCAGTAGGATTGTTTAATAAAGAAAATATTGTGTTCTATATTAACCATGCTTTTACACGTTAGTATAATTAGAGTAGTAATGTAACATATAATATGCCAAATAGAGTATGCGTGTGGTACATGTAATATATAAATATAGTGTAATTTGTAGTCGTAACATGCTCTAATATAAATTAGTGTAATATAAATAAGATGTGATGTCGGAAGGGTCCCATGTGGTCCAAAGCAGATCTCAAAAGCTAGCAACTGGAGTCCCATTTGTGGTTGTGGTTTTTTCAGATACTCCCATAAATCCCATGTTTCCGTCACTAAATTCTACTCATTATCAACTTCTTGCCAGTCTGGTTTCATCTGAGCTTCACCCACTTGTTCCCCCCCCTTGAGAAAAAAACCCAAAAAATTAATGGGAGGCACATCCCAGCTAAATTCTATGGTTTTTCATCCCTAACTAGCTCATCATGTGGCTATAAGGGATAAAGATGCTGGCATGAGCCCCCAGTCAGCCCAGAAATAAGTAGACAGCGGTGTTCTCTTCATCTCCATGGGTGTCGGTCAGCGTCCGCACTCTCGGGGCCGTGACCAGACTTGCCGGGACGCCTGGCATCCTTGCCCTGGGTTCTGGAGGGTTCTCCCCTCTGTGGTGTGCACATGTGGCACTCTGCCCCCACTCTGCCCCCACTCTGCCCGCGGCCTGACTCGCTTTCTCGCCTAGAACCCGCCCTGGACTTGCGCTCCTGGTACAACCGCTGGCGGATCTGCTGTGACGGGCGCCTCCTCCTCAAGTGGCAGCAGCTCCAGGCCCTTCACCAGCATGAGCCACTGGCCCCAGGGAGGGGAGTGAGCCCCCCGGCCCCCCTCGTGCCCTTCAGCCTCCTGACCCTCCTGCAGGCGGTCCTGAGGGTCGTGGTGGCCATTCGGTGAGCAGGCACAGGGCGGGGGCAGTGGGGGCCCTGGGCCCATCTCACTCCCCGGTCTTTTGGGTCAGGGGCTGGGGGTTTAGTTGAATCCAGGATGGGGGAGAAGTTGGCTGTGGCTGAAGAAAGGGTAAGGAATGGCTGCAGCGGGATCACCATGGTGCTGTTCTCACCGTCCAGAGTTAGTTGCTCACACCCTACGTGGGGATCTTACTCCAGCACACACTTAATGGACAAGCAGTCCAGGCACATCAGAGCTGACGGTGGGGCACTGGGCATCTTGGGGCAGCCTGCCTTTCTTCACCTCGTCCCCGTGGCTGCCACTGGTTCCAGTTTGCACACATTTCCGTCACGTCGAGATTGAAGGTGGCTGTTAGAGGCCGCTTGCCCAGCCACCCCGCTGGGGAGTAAGCACAGCTTCCGGCCTGGGGACCTGCGGCCTCTCCCCCCCCGGCCTGGTCCCAGCCATCGAGGCTCCATTTTGGAAGGCCTTTGCCCCAGCCTCGACCCCACCAGCCTCACTCAGGCCTTTTCACTTAGATCCCCACCTAGGCCCTCCTCCAGGATGTTCCTCCCAACCCCCTGCCTGGGGACAGGCAGGACTGCTTCTTTTGGTCTCGTACTCAGGCTCTTTGATCACAGCTGTGTGCAAGGACATGCAGATACACAAATGCATGTGGATAGAAGATGTGCAAAACTGTATCAGCAGATCAAATTTATATATATTGATTTGTTTGCTTCTTAATCGTCCATCTTCCTGTAATTGTAAGAGGAATGTACTAGAAAGTGTCCAGTATCTGAAAATGGTTGTTGGTGTCTTCTGTCCAGTGTCCTCGTTGGTGTTGTTCACAGCAGGGGGTTAGCTCTGTCTTTGTCTCTGGTCCTGGCTGGAAGCAGAAGGCCTGCCCCCCTGCTGGTCTGCTCTCCTGGTGTTGGGCACTGGTATTTCCTCTAACCCTGTGATTACAAACGATGCCACAGGGCGCATCCACATGCGAGTGCCCCTGTGGACCTGCAGCCTCTCTGGGGCATGTGCTCTTGGGCAGGGGGCCGGTGGCTCTGGGTGATCTGTGAGCGTGAGTAGGCTCGTGAAACCGTGAGATTGTTTCTTCTTTGCTTTGCGTGAAGATTCAACTTTTCTTTGTGTGTGTTTGCCAACTTGACCGTCACAATGAGTTGGACTCCCCGGTGCCCACTCTGGGAAGCGTAAGAAGCAGCTCGGCTGTAGATGGTACATGAGGTAGATGGTCAGAGTAGGCCAAAGGGAAGGTGCTAATGACCGTGGAGGAGGCGTTTGCCTCAGAGCCAGGCTCTTGGGCTGAGGTACAGGTGCCAGCCAGATGTCCAGGAGAACTCTCTTGTCTGCGGGGTGCTCTGTGAGATCCCCCAAACTGTTTGACCAGCTTCTCTCAGGAGAAGTTGCCAGCTGCCTGTGGGCTGGCCTGGCAGAGATTTGCTAGAACTGTGAAGGCCTCCGGAGGGGAGGTGAGCTTGAGACTTCCCCAGCAGGGACCCTTGAAGAGTTGTGACAGTCAAACGGGCCTTCTCGATGGGGCCCACTGCAGCCGCATCGGGTCCCTTTCACAGCTGCACAAGGCGGGGACTCTCCTTCCCGGCCCGAGGGGGAGAGTGGGCTCTGGGGGCTGAGTGCCTCATCCGAGGACCCACGGCTGGAAGTGAGCCAGCTACGACACACCCTGGCGTCGCCTCCCTGTACCCTTTCCTGCCTGGGCTCCTCGGGGACTCAGATGGCATCCTCCTCCACTGTGGGGGTCCCCCCGCCTTCCAACCCAGGGAGGCTCCCTACCAGGTCCTGCCAGGGCGGCATGGGCTCAGCATGGGGCACAGTTCCAAGTAACTGCATTTCTCTTTGCTTTCCAGCCACTTGTTTTGGGTTTGAAGTTGGAGTCTTCAGCTACTGCCGAGAACATCAACGAAAATGTCAGTCATAATCGAGGTCTTTAACGAAAGCCGTCAAGTCAGGAGGAGTCTGTGATAAGCCACCATTTTCTCAGGTCCTATAACTCACACCAGGGTTGGGTCTAAGTTCTTTCTCATCAGGCAGTGCTCCGTTGTGCTGCTGCTGCTGTGGATGCGGGTGAGACTCTGGCGAATGTGGCCAATAAATGTTATTTATGAAACTCCCGAGTGGCGCCTGATTGAATGGTGACACTGGTTACGCTTTTTGGAGGGGGCGCGTTCTCCAGCCCGGCGTCCCTGAGGGAGGGGGGCCGCCTCCGTGCCTCTCTTCCCTCTGCCCGGGACAGCGGTCCCACCGGTGACCGGCCGGAGGTGCTGTGGGCACCTGTGTCAGGCGGCTCGCACTTCAGTGAGTTGCATAAAATTAGGGCAGTTGAGGTTTTTTAAACTGAGATGTCATTCACATCATAAAATTCACCTTTTTACAGCATATGATTCAGTGGATTTTGGTGTATTTACATGGTTGTGCAGCCCTCCCCCTGCTGTCTCATTCCAGACCCGTGTGGTCACCCCAAAAAAGAAACCGATCCTGCATCACTCCTTCCCTTCTTGCCCGGCCTCTGGCAGCCACCCACCTGCTTTCTGACTTTTCCTGTGCGTGCAGTCCTATGGCATGTGGGTCTGCTCTGTCTGGCGCCTCTCAGTGCACATGTAGCCCACGTGAGCGCGGCATTCCTTTTTATGTGGGTAACCGGGGCTGCTGGGCCTTTGGGTTGTTTCCGCCTGTCGGCTCACCATCACTCGTGCTGCTTTTGTGTAGACATGTTTGCGTTCTTCTTGGGTCTGCACCTGGGAATGCTGGGGCTTGAGGTAATTCCGTTCTCCACAGTGGAAAACTGCCCCATTTTATATTCACATCCATGCCAGCCAGGCAGACCAGTTTGGGTTTCTCCACATCCTTGCTGACACTTGCTGTTAGCCTTGTTTGGATGATAGCCGTCCTTGTGGGTGTGGAGCAGTGTCTCATCATGGTTCTGATCTGCGTTTCCCTGATGACTAGTGACATTGAGTGTCCTTCCGCGTGCTCATCGGCCATTTGCGTGACTTCTTGGAGAGATGTTTGTTCAGACTCATTGCCTGTGTTTTAATTGGATCATCCATTTCTTTCATTGTTGTTGAGTTTGTGTTCTGGCTGTGTTCTGGATGGTAGGTCCTTATCAGATGTATCATTTGCAAGTATTTTTCCCTGTGGGTTGCCTTTTCCCTCCCTTGATGATGACCTTTGAAGTACAGAAGTTTTTAAATTTCCATGAAATCCAGTTTTCTATTTTTTCTTAGGTTGTTGTTTTTTCTTAGGTCAGATGGTCATTTCTCAGAAACCATTTCCTAATCCAGTGTCACAAAGATTTACCTATGTTTTCTCTCTTGCTCTTTTTTTTTTAGATTTTATTTATTTGTCAGAGAGAGCACAAGCAAAGGGGAGCAGCAGGCAGAGGGAGAGGGAGAAGCAGACTCCCCACTGAGCAGGGAGCCCGATGCGGGGCTCGATCCCAGAACCCTGGGATCATGACCTGAGCTGAAGGCAGTCACCCAACCGACTGAACCACCCAGGTGCCCCTACCTATGTTTTCTCATAAGAGATTTATAGTTTACCTCATACATTTGGGGCTTTGATCTATTTTGAGTGAGTTTTGTAACTTTTATATATGGTGTGAGGTACATGCATTTGATGTTCTTTTGCATGTGGATATCCAGTTGTTCCACATAGCATTCTTGAAATGATCAAATTATAGAAATGGAGAACAGACTCGTGGCTGCCAGGGGCTCGGGGGTGTGTGGGGGGTGGGAAGGAAGTAGGTACCATCATCCAAGGACAACATGAGGCATTCTGTGGTGATGGAAACATCCTGTATCTTGATTTTATTGATGTTCTGGTTGTGAGATTATGCTACAGTTTTGCAAGATGTTACCAATTGGGGCAAACTGGATGAGGATAATGGGATTTCTCTGTATTATTTCTTGTAAGTCATTGTGAATCCACGATGATCTCAAAATAAAAGTTTAATTAAAGTAGCACAGTTCGCTTTGGAAGATTTTGAGAATACAGAAGAGTACAGAGGAGAAAGTAGAAACCACTGAACCTTCCCCCACCCCCGACCCCGACCCCGAGTTGACCTCTGTTGCTACCCTGGCAGGAAGGAATGGACGGATTCCCACAGGAACCAGACTTGGGGGTAGGGAACGTGTGAACTGGGGTGGCCACCTTAGAGACGGGAAGAAGACAGAGGTGGGGATCTAGGCTTTGGAGGGCTGAGGATGACGAGGCTGCCATTGGGCCAGGCGCTGGCCCCGTGGGGCATTTGAGTGGGTGGTCCTGGAGGGCCTCCAGGCTTCCCTTGGGGGCATAGTGGTGTTCTCCTAGGGCCCATCTCCACTGGCCTAAGGGTGACACTGAGCATTGTTCATTCACTCAGCAAATATTTATCGGTGCGTACTGTGTGTCAGGCATTGGCAGGGGTGAGCGTAAGACGTGCCCCTGGGCTGATGGGACACTGTAATATGGGGACAGTTGCGTAGTGAGTGAAGTACACGTGAGCGTGGGGCTGGGAGGGCAGGGGGTGCTCTTGACATCCTGTTCACATTCATTCCCATGTTGCCCCACGGACCTGCAGTTCCTGACTGGTGTTCTCTGGCTGGGGGAGCCAGTGCAGGCACAGACTGCATGTGCTAGGGAGTGACGTCCCCGGGGGGAAGCCCTCAGCCAGTTGTGGCTGGGAGCTGTGGTTAAACAGCCAGCCTCCTCCCTGGACGGGACAGCTCTGAGCTGTGTTCTGTACTGTCTCCTGGAGCTCCTTAGCAGGACTGAACCCCACTGTCCTCTGTGCTCACCTTGGTGATGCCCCTTGTCCTGGCTGCTCACCTTCCCAGGCTCACTTCCCCATTCCTTCACAGGCCTCCCTGGATCACCTCTCAATAAAGCACTTGCAGTTAATCCTGGCCTCAGGCTCTGCTTTTCCCGGGGAAACTAATATAAGACAAGGCCTGTGGACCTGTCTTGAGGTCAGGGTAGGTTCCTGGGGGAAGGCGAGTCCTGTTGTCCTGGTGACGAAGGCTGACGACAGTGTGCAGCCGAGGTGTGCAATGTGAGGGCCTGCCCAGGACAGTCCGGAGCATTCTGTCTACATAGGAAGCTTATGCCTAGGAGGGGCAATGACAGGAGGTGGAGTAGGGACCAGACTGCGGGAGGCCTTGGTGGTTTTTTAAAGATCACAGCGCGTCACACTGTGTTTGGGAAAAGCACCGTGGCTGAAGGAAGTTGAATGGAGGCCTGCCTGGAGGCTGCAGCAGAGACGCTGGGATGGTGGCAGCGCTTTTGCTCCAGGTGGAGGGTATGTGACCGCTTTGTTCCGAAATCCCCAGACACATTCCTGGGATGACACGCTCCTCTGCAGTGGGCTGGCCCAGCCCCGGCACTCCTGCCTGTGTGTAAGTTGTCCTGAAGCTTGACAGGAGGAGCCACGAGAGGGCACTAAGAGCCTCTTGTCTGCAAACCGCTTAGAGAGGCTGGAGGAGCTAGGGAGGTCAGGAGGGGTGGGCCCAGCCTTGTGGGGCCCTCCCTTGACCTGCAGCCTCCCTCCCCTCCCGATTGCTTTCTCCAGGACAGGCCCTGAAATCTGCGACCTTCCAGGCAGAATGTGTTCCAAGGAGTTTAAGGAGTTTTGAGAAGGATGCTCCTATGATCCTTGGCGCCTCACACTCAGTCAGGGAGCCCAGAGAAACTGCTCCCTCTGCCTCCCCCTCTTCCCTAGCCCCCTCTCTGCTGCCTCCCCCTCCCCGCTGCCTCCCTGTCTCTCCAGTACCCCTCTGCTGCCTGCCCCCTCCCTAATGCCTCCCTCCTTCGCCCTCACTCCCAGCCCCCTACCTGCTGCCTCCCCCTCTCTTCTAGTCGCCCCTCTGCTGCCTCCCCCCTCCCTAATACCTCCCTCCTTTGCCCTCACTCCCAGCCCCCTCCCTGCTGCCTCCCCC